AAATGAGCCAAAATGAGGCGAAATCAGAGCTACCTACACCATATTCAAGACTCAAACATCAAAATGAATTTTGGGAGGCCATTGGGGAGAAAGAAAGCCTGTGTGAGCGAAAATCTGGATTTTTGGGCAATTTTCGCCGATTTTGTGACTTTTTTGGGACATTCATAAGAGGCCTTGGTGACCCGTGACAGGTACGAAAATATTCGTAAAAAATGGGCCCTGTGACGCGTGACATACGAATTGAATGAAATGGTAAGGTAGACCCAGTCCACCCTCGACGAACATCACGTGTTATTTCCATCTACAGCGAACCTCCTTATATCGAGACTATTAGGAGGAAACAGCCAAATTCCTCCGACCAGATTGTTCTAATTGTATTCAAGTATCTAGAGATAAAATATCAGAGCTCTATTACCTCTGTGCAAGAAGGAGTTCCGGAAACAAGTTTTGTGATGGGGAAACAGTTGAGGCAGTCGTGGGAGCAAATTTTGAGACAGCCGCCAGTGATTCGATAACTCTGGCCCAGAAACTCATGGTATCGTCACAATGTCAGAGAGAAAAATGAAGCTTAGACTGAAATAAAGGATTTGGTCGAGGGGATTTGTTGAATTCAAACTACAATGTACTTTACAGATGCATTTTGTCGAAAACCGCTGCATAAGGAAATTTCACGTGATGTTTGTCGAGGGTGGACTGGGTCTACCTTACAGTATCCTGCGATTCGCCTTCTGAGGGATACTCTTCGCCTATCGCGGGCAAGTTGCGGGGCTACTCGTTTGAGGCCGGTTCAAATGCTCCTCCATCCACTTCGTCGCTCATCCCAGCCAGATGCACGCTTTCCCGCCATGAAACGAGGGGTCGTTCGAAGGCACGAACACGGCGCAATTAATTAGTACACGAAACCATTAGGAAAAATGAACTCGTTCAACAAAGCAACCTCTCAGCATTCCGAGTAGCCTCCCACTGAGACGCAGTGCCGCGGGATTTCCGAGGGAGGGGGCCCGGGACGCAGATCGAACCCTGCCCATCGCAAGCGAAATGAAAAACTGTTCGCCGTTGGTTGAGCAATGATTCACCCTCATTGCTGGGGTGAACTGTTTCGAGCATTGAGCTCTTTCTCTCCAACAGATACGCATGCATGGTCATTAATCGGTGAGCGCTGTTTGCCTTTGAATTATAAAATTATAATTTAATAGTAACGAGGATTCTCTCTTTTTTTTCGTGCGATTCCCTTCACCAGTCCTTGCTCCACGCATTAATTAGTGGCGGAACATACTCTCGACACCGACAGGAGACGGCGGCTCATGGCACCAAGCCGGCAATCAACCTTCCGTCCATCCCAACGGCTATCAGACGCGACTCTCAAGTTCGGTCCGATCCCCGGCACTGACTCCCTCTCTTCTCTTACCACCATTGTTCTTTGCTGTTCTCTCATCTTTTCTTCTTCAATGCCTGCCTCCATGTTTCACCTCCTCTTCGCCTGCTCCTGCTTTCGCTCTCGCGGTCTTTCCAAGGACAATCACACTGTGTGTTCACCCGCGCGGCGTATGTACGTTGTCAACGAAAGCTTACCTTCGGCGTCGGGCAGGTTATACCTACTGAATCCACGCACCTTATCTCGGAAACTGCAAATGGTGACCGTTCGTATGTGCCCCCCTCCTTAAATTGCTGTTGCGTTTCAATCACAGCTCAGCCACTCACAGAACTAGCTACCAAAGTACGGCGGCTGGAGATCGTCAACGTCTTCATGAAAGAATGGACAGTATCGTACGGTCAAAGGAAGGGTAAGTGAAATAACATTCTAACATGCGTAACGGGGCTCCATCTTCACTTTACATCTTCAGCAAAATGGTGAACGTCAACGCCCACGCGCCTTTCATACTTCGACACGCGAACGGGGAGGGTCACACGGCGAATCATATCCACTCCAACTCGGCTGGTCCCTCCTCGCCTATATCCCCCACCTCCCCCCTTCCTTCCCCGACGCTGCACGAGAGCGATTATACCAACCACCACCCGCACGTCGTCACTATGACTCCGGCGCGCATGCGACTCCGCGCGGATAGTCGGTTTTCGTCGCGCAGCGGCTCCCGGTCATCCTCGTTGCGGAGGTACGATCCTTCGGACAGACTGCTGTTCAATAATCACGCTGGGTTCGCCGCGGAAAGAGTGAGGCATACGCCGCCGCCGCCTCCAAGTCGAACCTTGGCTGCCGAGGTCGCTCAATCGGTCTCGACTTCCAGCTCCGGCCCGGGGACTGGGGATGTTAGTATGCAGCTTTTGGATTTCGAGCTCTAGTTCATTGTTTGACAGGTTTTGAGGTCGTCTCCTGCCAGTCCCATCGGCATCCACCACTCCAAGTTGGCCAACGACGCGGATCACCATGATTCTATTGCATTTTCATGGAGCGAGACATGAGTATCGTTTGCTACTCTTCTCTAATGAAGTCGCGATCACTCGTTTGAAGACTCGGATGTACTACAGATAGTGTTTGGATACCCTTACCCGAAAGCCGACACCGGAAACTTGGGTTGGCAGAGTTGTATAGCTTGTATTTCTTGTGTGTTACTACGTTCTTTCAAAGATTGCTTCGTCTAGAAATAGAGTAAGACCCAATGTATCTATATCTCCGGAGTCAATAAACCGTTTGGTCCTTGACTGTATTTCAAATGACTCGACTCTCATTCCTCTTGACCGCAATGACACTTGCGCATTTGATGTCCTTGAAATTTTCTACGCCGTCCCGTTAATACGACCTTAGTTTCTCTAGAAGTTGTTCAACGCCTGTTTTCCGAAACTTACTTCTCTATTTATTCTTTAGTTCTACCGCGGCGAGTTGAGTACTGCGACCGTGAGCTCGGCTATGGGATGATGGAGAAGTCCAGGGACCGTAGTGTACATTAGTGCCTGTACACTCAGTTACTCCCTGGGCCCCGGCGTTCCTCAGGGGACCGTGCCGTGTAATCTTCCTTCCTTCCTTCCTTCCTTCCCCTCAGCAAGCTGTGCCCAGAGCTTCGCAATATCCAACGACTTTCCAAGCGAACAAAACAATTGAACGCTTTCCGCCGTTGAACGCCGCTTTCCGCCGCCCTGGTTGACCGAGCGACTCCAACTGCGACTCGAAGGATTTGAAGCTGAAGGATATCTCCTGCATTCCTCAAGACCTCATGTTTAATATTACACTAGTGCTGAATTAATAAGGACTTCACTTAAGCGACCGCTATCAGCAAAGCGCAAAAGTTGACCCTCAAATCAAAATCCTGGATACGTCGTGAATTTAAACTCGCATCTCACAGAAGATAACCCATACCGAAATAGTTCAGTTCCGGCGTATTCCAAATCGTTGCTTGGACGCATACTTCCCCCAACGTTGAATATCCTCTCGCTGGAGTAAAAGCTCCACCGTGTAAAATTCCCGCGCAAGCACCTCATTAGAAGCTACTTGATGGACGGCGGTATGACACGGTCTACAGTAATTCGCTGTTGATTAAACGGGCACGAATACATAGTCCATAAGTAGCCTTGAACGCACCTGCAAAGCCAAGCAACCGAGTTGAGAATACTTTCCGGATGCCACTTCTTCTTCAACACTTTGGCATGCGTGGAACGAGGTATGAGATGATGGTACGTCAACGGCACGCGGCGCTCGCAGATCTCGCATTCTTGCGTGCGCGTAGAGGACCACACCGGCGGCGGGGCGCAAGTTTCAGTCAGATAGTCTCCCAGGATCTTTCGCAGGAATTCATGCGACTCGGCGTCGTCTGAAGCCAGGCCGTATGAGATCAAGGTGTCGGTGAACGACACAGGGGTGGAGTCGAGCGGGATGGAGTCCAGATCGTCTAGTGGGAGGGAAGATCTGGTTTCGTAGGATGCGAGTGTGAGTGGTCTGGGCAGTGTCGGCCAAATCTCTTCTGCGAGATATGAAGCGAAATCATCCAGTTCGGATGTGCCGATTTCTGTAGTACTGGACGACGCTGAAGACGGAGGATTCTGGAGTTCGGGGAGAGACAACAGACGTCTGGCAAATGTGTCCTTCAGGATGTTGAATTGAGGAGTCTCGTGAAAGGTCGTCGACGGCATGGATGGAGGCGCGGAGGAGGTGGTGGTTGTGGTGAGAGTGGGGTTTCGGATATAAGTACCGTCGTCGGAGCCGAGATGTCATCTCGGCAACTCCCGGGACGGTCCCGCATGTTGAACTTTACAAATTTCAACTTCGTAGGCAAAAAGAATTTATTGGCAACATGCTATGCTGGAAGCGTTTAAAATTCTCAATGGCAAGTCATAGTCCGAGCGTTTTGATTGGTTGTCTGACGAAGAAGAATGCACAACGCTCGAACTCGAGAAATGTTGAATTCTCGAATCACGCATTTACAGTGTCATACTCACTTTAGGGGATGCTGCTTCGCCGAATTCTCAGTACTAAAATGGCCGTCCCGCTCTCTAATGCGAACGAAACGTGAAAAATAGCACAAACAAATCAAGAATGTGAATCTTCGATCCTTCATCAAATTACGCCCTAGCTAGCATATTGGTTTCGGCTACTTCCTAACTGGTTAGTGAGAGAGTACAGTAGTCTTATAGTCTTGTCGGAAGCAGTATAATCGTACTGAGAAATTCGATCTGAATCCAATGCATATGCACAAGACGCCGGATTCAGAGGTCGAACAGCCTCGCCGCGACAATTTGGATGGAATTTAGACCATCAAAGTTAAGTAAGGTTGGGAGGCCAAGATGCGTTCAAACCTGACTTCTGGGCGAGAAAGACCAATAAAGCGAAGCAAACATTGGAAGAACCAAGGGCAGAATATTACTATTGCGGTTATTTGTTGATGCCAAACAAATCAATTGAAGATACCTCGACGAGCTCGCTTTCCGCTCGAGTCTGGAGAAACGGGACGCCAGACGTGTTTTGATGCGACGGAAATAACTGCAAACAAAGTGGTTGGACTTGATTCGATGACTCGGACAGGGAACGGTTAACGCGGGCAGTCAAAAACAATCAGTCCTGGCGGGAGTCGAACTCGCAATCACCAAACTTGCAACAGTGCCCATCGGTGTCGTACCATTAGACCACAGGACTTGATCAAACCACAATTAGTTGGTGAGTACTCAGAATCTGTGCCGGGTACCACATGAAGACGAATGCCTTCTGATACGAGTCTGAGTTCAAAGTGAAAGCAACTTTAAATTTAGTGTGAATACTTTACTTACAAACTGGATTTTGAGTTGATTTTCTGGTCATTTACCGTCTCAAAAAGTTAGATTCGGACGAGAAAATAATTGGGGGACGGAAGGTCGCCGCGCACACTGTGGGGGAGTAAAAGAGTCCATATCTCCGCTGGTAGTTTGGCTTGACTGGTGCAATAGCGGTAAGTATCGCAGCGCCCGCTGTCGCGTCGCCGTCAAGTTTGCGAGTCATTCTCAGTCAAACTGCCAATTGAAATTTGATGTGTCTTGGTGTTGATTCCCCTACAAGCAAGAGATCCTCCTCGGCCGAGCACGGATCGAAGGATACGTTCCTAGCAAGTCAAGTCGGTTGCAAGTCGGTGTGCAGTTCAACTGTTCAATTGATTAGATCAAATTTGCTCGTGTTTGTCTTCTTCGGCTCAATCTCGGCCGCATTCACTCTGTCGCAAACCACCACTTGGACCTGGGCCATCCAACCTATGCTTCGCATATATTGTCTTTGCTGCCTCAAGAGCCGGATAATGTCCCAGTTTGAATCTGCTTGCCTGCAGCGCTAGCCTGGCTCGGACAGCAAAATACAATATTTCATGATTTTCAAAATTATCTTGCACCTTGACTCTTCTGGCCCTTGTCTTGCGCCGTCATCTTTGTCCCAGGTCTCCACCCCGATGTACAACCTATACGTGCCGATGCCAAGCCAGCTATGCAGAAACCATGGACATCGCCAGCCTCGGAATCCCGATCGCAGTCGTACATGTTCCGAATATCTTCCCCACTCAGGCTAGCCATTTATCGCTGTGGGAATTCCAAGAATCCGGCACATGCCCAATGGCTGACCCAGCGATCGCATGGCGCCGCCCTGTGGCGTCCTTATCTTCCGGGTTGCACGCGCCTCGTTCTCAAACTCTCCACAAGAACTCCCCCGGGCGGCCGCGAGGGTCAGGAAGAGAAAGTTCATGAGGGGATACCGAAGTGGAAGATACCAAGAATACGAAACCGGTGTTCCGATTCAATTTCGGTGTTGCGTACTCGTCAGATGAAACCCGGTAATTTCTCGATTATGCCCAGAGCTGAGAGTTCCAAAGGCAATATTCGAAAACTTGTGAGACGAGGTGTGATTTACTCCGCATTGAAGCGGATCTAGATATCAACTAAGCTACGCAAGGGACCCCCAATTTGCACCAGGCTATCATCACACAGTGGACGCAGAATTTGGGACGGACCGAAGCTTCGAGCTGACACACAAAAATTTCACACGATACTTAGTTGTCAAATACACACTTTTCTCTGCCTCCCGTATGCATTCGAGCTCGTACAACACTCTAACACGCCAAAACCCCCTCAGGCTCAAACCCATCCCTTTCCACCAAGCCAGAAAAATTCCCTTAAAAGGCGAGCAAATTCCCATAACGGGCCACCCCCTCACCCGCTCCTCCTCCAATCCTCGACTTTCGACTTCATCCCCAAACCCCATCCGAAAAACCAAAAAGTAGCCATATTTTTTTACACAAAATCCTACACTACCCCCGTTGATATATGTATAATTTTCTCCTCATATATCCATCATTCGTCGCCATCGTGCAATAAATCGTATCGTATCGTATCGTACACCCTGCTCCCAAAGCACACCACACCCACACACCACACCACCACTCACCACGACCCCGCCGGCGGCCCAAAGATCTGCCCCTCAGCGAGCGAGAGCAGCGGGGACTTATTCCCGTCGGCGGTACTAGAGGCATCTTATAAGCAAAGAAAGAACCGACGACGCAGCGAAAGAACACAAACTTCTGCCACACCGTATTACCCCACCAGCTCTGGATAGTGTGAAGCCCGATAGTGCCGTTGCGCGGGTATTGCAGGATGAAGAAGATGAGGACAGCGGAGACGGCGACGCCGCTGTCCAGGGCCGCGGAGAGGACGTCTGTGGTATTCGTAAGTAAGCATTGAGATTGCTCTTTAAAGAAAAGATGAAGGGAGGGGGGAAGGGCAAAAGAAACGCACAATTGTACTTCGTCCACCAAGCAAAGTGGCGCCGACGGATGACATACTGGAAGATGAACCCGACGATCGCCCAGGGGACGTAGTTGTTCGAGTTGGCGGGCGGGATGAGGCCAGTGCCGGAGAAGATGACAGGGAAGCTGGAGTAATCATTGTCCGTCAGTCAGCGTCATCGTACGGGGAGACACAGAGAGAGAGGTAACGACGCACTTGAGGTAGCGCAGCCAGCTGTTGGGCCAGCGGAGCGTGCAGATCCACGCAAGGAGCGGGCAGAGGAAGCCGATCAGGAAGAAGAACGTCAGGGCGTAGTAGATTTGGCCTTTCGAGACTGAGATAGATGTGTGCGTCAGCAAGGGCATCGTGAAACGCATGAGGAGAAAGAGGGGAGAAGAGAGGAGGAGAGACGCACATTGCCTCGCGGGGCCGATGACACCCCAGATGATACTCGCAGTCCCAAACACCTGCGTCGAGGGGCACCAGAACCCGTCCTTCTGCGTCCGCACGCACATATCCTCGATATTCGTAAACATCCACGCTTGCACGCCGAGTTGGACCGTGCCTGCGACGATCTGCATCGTATCCTTATCAGCACGCTGGTTGCGAGGGGGAGTAGGAGTAGCGGAACGGGAGGAGGAAACACGCACCGTAGCAATAACCTGCGCATGGAACATCGCGCGCGGCGGCACCTTCATATAATGCCCCAGCTTGAAGTCGCTCGTGAACGTCAGCGCCTGGGCCATGGTGATGTATCCCCAGGTCTTGAACATCATCATGGCGACGGGGCGCCCGGGGAGGGCGTACCCGATGATGAGCTCCGTGATGACGTTCAGTCCGACTTGCTGATTGGTGATAGCTTGGATCATGCCGACTGTGAGGGGGGCGGGGGGCGGGGGGCGGGGGGAGGAAAGAGGGAGGTGGAGGGAGGGGAGGAGGAAGAGAGGAGGGAGACGACGCGTCAGCGGAAAGACAAAAGCGACAAGCAAGGAAGAACGCACTGGGAATAACATAGAAGAACGAAATCACCAACGCCAGTATGAAATACTGCACGGGGAACTTGGTATCCCACACCTCAATCGTGATGATACCGAACACGAACATCGACAGGAAGATGATCGCATACCACCATTGGGGGACCTATATCAATATCGCGGGCGTCAGCGAGCGTTCTCTAAATCCTCCTTCGCCTCCTTTTCACTCCTCCTCCTCCTCCTTCTCTTCACTCCTCCTTCCACTCCAAGGACGAGAGAAGGGCGGGAACTCCAAAGAGAGGAAGAGAGCGGAAGAGACGACACGAAACCAAAACGAAAACCCACCTGTGGATACACCGCCATCAACCTCGCATGGATATCCGGCTGCTCATGCATCGCCCGCCGACTCTGCGTCCAGATCTGCTTGCGGAAGAAGAGGAACGCGTGCGTGATGGTCGCGGTGATGGACGCGAAGGAGAGGCCGTATGAGATGGCGAAGGTCGTGGAGAGGAAGATGGGCGAGTAGGCTTTGTATTTGGCGTCGTCGAAGACCTGGGGGGGAAGGATCGATCAGTCGGTGCGGGACGGAATGGAAGAGGGAGGAGTGGGTGCCGAAGGTGCGGGAGGAGGAGGAGGAGGAGGTGGCGATGATGTAGGACGCGGACACACCTTCTCATCATTCAAAATCCGCGACACATCATACGTCAAGCCCTGGTTATCAAACGACCCGCCCGACGAGATGGGCATGTACTTCGAGTACCAGGTGTTGGTGAACTGCAGCGGGTGTTGTTAGCGCATGTCAGGAACGACGAGCGAAGCGAGGAGGAGAGAAGACGGGAGGAATGAGGAGGACGGGAAAAAGGAGAGAGAAGAAGAAGACGGCTCCGACGACATCCTCACACGATGCCAAGACAAGCGCCGACCCACGCCCACGCCCACAACGCTACGCAATCCCGCACAAGACGCCCACAGACGTCTACAACCTGCTACGGTTGCGCAGCAGCAGCGTCATCGTCCGGCGCCTTCCCCCTCTTTCACACTACACAAACATGCAGTACGCAAAGAAAGCAAAGAAACGAATAAAAGAAAGAGACACGAATACGCACATACAAAGCCGGCGTCAATATCCAGAAGAAAAACACGAATCCCACCGCGATATTCGCCTCGGCCCACCACGGCGTCGCGAGCGGGGAGCCGATGTAGGTGATCTGGGCCCAGTCTGCGAGTGAGCGTCAGCGAGCGAGTCTCCAGCGCATCACATGTAATTTCATCAAGTGAGAGAGAAAAGCACGAAAACCCACCAAACGTAACCATCCCCATCGCCAACCCATAATTCACCCCAAACAGCTGATTCACCACCAAATTATTCGGCCTAATCCAACACACCCACGAGAAGAACGATAATCCCGTAAAAAGGTAGCCGGGGACGAGATACCAGAGGGCGGAGCCCGCGAAGGCGATGTAGAAGAAGCGCTCGCGGGAGAAGCCGCCGCGCGAGCCGACGCCGGCGTATTGCTGGGCGTGGAGGGTGTTGAAGAGGGCGCAGGTGACGAGGGTGTAGGGCCAGACTGGGGAGGGGGGAGGAGTGATTAGGAGATGATAAAAAAAGAGAGAGAGAGAGAGAGACGCACTCATACTAGGCGGCTGCACCAAAAACCTCCTCGCAATCCCACCAATGGAAAACCCAATCAGCTGCGTCGACATCACCATGAGCCACTGGTAGCTAAAGTTGTACGTCTGGTCGTAGTAGACTCTTTGCACGGCGACGATGTCCGTGGCGTAGGCGGAGCCTGCGCCGACGCCGGCCTGGGGGGAGAAATGGGGGTTAGCGGGCGGTTGAGATGGGGTGAGAGCGAGCGGTAGCAGGAGACAAGCAGAACAGGGGGAAGGAGCGCATAGCGAGCGGGCGCAAAGCCACGTCGTC